CTAAAGTGGGCGGCAGTGAAGGGGGTGGAGCGAAGGCGGAGATCTGTGGGAGCGGCCAGTACTTTGCGGGGCGGGGCTAATATGGGGAGGGGCGAGGGGGAAGGTGGAAGCTGGGGAACTGTGGTTGGAGCTGTTAGGTGGAAGGGCTAAAACGGAAGGGGTGAGTTGCAGAGGAGGGGGTTAAAGGGCTCGGTGAGGCGCGCAGCAGTCACTGGGGCTCGGACCTCTCTCCCAGACCCAGTTTTTCTGAGATCAGAGAAAACTGAATTTGGCTTTGTTTCTCCAAAGCCTTGACAGAGGGTAGGACAAGACCTGTTTTCCTGGACCTTTTCCCATCTTCCCTCGACTCGGCCTAGGGAGTCCTCTAAACTGAAGGATCCTCACATCACCCTCCGCAATCTCACCAGGGTCTCCTTCTAGTGAACTTAGATAGGTCCCAGGTTCCCACGCTACCCATTTCCACCCACTGCCACCATGAGTACGGTATCTACGGACATCTGCTTTGCCCAGAGCTCTGAAAAATTCCAATGGATTTATGAAATGGCATGTGTCTTTAAGTCTAAGTGAGCAAGCAAGATTTTTTTTTTAAATGAGACCTTTTTTTTTTTAATACTATGAGAAATGGGACAGTGCTCTGGTGTTGAGCCCCTCTTGCTGCAGACTGTATGAGTAGGCTTGGCCTAGTCAGCCTGAAGGAGCAGGAACCTCCCCCCACCCCTCCCACACAAGGAGCTTGTCAATTGTCAGTCTGCCAGTGAAGCTCCACCAATGATTCAGCACCTGCTTCCCATGCATGAATGGGAGAAACCAGCACAGACCCAAGAGTCAGTCCAGGAATGCCTGCCCTAGGCCAGGTGGTAGTGGCGCCAGCACATGCCTTTAATCCCAACCCTAGGGAGGCAGAGGCAGGCGGATCTTGGCGAATTCAAGACCAGCCTGGTCTACAAAGCAAGTTCCAGGACAGTCAAGACTGTTACTCAAAGAAAAAAAAGAAAGAAATGCCTAGCCTCTGAATCTGAAGTTAAACAAGTTATTATTATAAGCTTTGGATTTGCAAGTAGTTTGCTATGCAGCAAAAACTGACACAGCGTTCTGTTCCAAGAAATAGTAATGGAAAGTTAACCCAAGAAATTAGTTATCTGTAGGTAACTGTTACCACTCTAACCAAATTGTTGAGGCCATTACCTTTCCTTCTTTGCAACTAAATAACAGACTTAGTGAAGTGGAACTTGATTCTTTACTCCCAAGGATCCTGCAGCCACTCAACTGTTTCTATTGCTGTGAGACCAATAAAAACCAGGACCGCGGATTTTAAAGTTTTCTCTTGGGGTTACGGTAGTATATATTTTCATCTTTAAAACAGGTTTACTTAAGCTGGGCGACAGTGACACCGCCTTTAATCCCAGCACTCGGGAGGAAGTGCAGGTGGATCTCTGTGAGTTCGAGGCCAGCCTGGTCTACAGAGCAAGTTTCAGGGCAGGCTCCAAATCAACATAGAGAAACCCTGTCTCTGTTGGACCCTAGCGTCCAAACACTAAGAAGGAGTCGCCCCCAGAGACCACCTCATACACCACAGCCGATGCAAAAGCATGAGGATTTTATTAATTCTGTCATGACAGGGTCCCTCAACATTCGGGAAGCCGAGAGACCTCGAATAGCTGATACAGGCTACTTTTAAAGGAGAAGGCCACAGCAGCAAGGGGTGTTGTTCTTTGACCATTATGATTGGCTTATTTGAAAGGGCTATTGCCAATAATTGGCTGGAGAGTTGTTGCCAGATCAGATGAGCTAAGAGGTCATTTTGACCCCGTTTCCCAGGGGACTGAATCAAAACATACGTGTTTAGATAATTGTTCAGGAACTGAGTCAACATCTTAAAGGTTGTCTTGCCCCAATTTCTGGAGAACACACGTGCATGTGTAGCCCTTGGTTCCTAGGGGAGGAGGGTAAGCACTATGGCACTGAGGTTGAGAGGGTTCAGAATTGTCAGAAATGGCTTCAGAATTGTCTTAAAGTCTTACACCTCCAAAAACAAAAACAAACCAATTTTATTTCAATATAATGTATATGCCTTCTAATAAAATATTTCATCACTTTCAAAATGAACCCTAGCCAGGCAGTGGTGGCACATGGCTTTAATCCCAACACTTGGGAGGCAGGGGTAGTGGATCTCTGAGTTCGAGGCCAGCCCGGTCTACAAGAGCTAGTTCCAGAACAGGCACAAAAGCTACAGAGAAACCTTATCTTGAAAAAACAAAACAAACAAACAAAAGAACATCATACAACAAATAATCTTCTACAGCTGACTTCTTTCAAGGACTAGAACATTTAATAAAGCTAATGTGGATTGTAGCGGGCGTTGATACTTTCTTTTCATTGCCAAATAAGTTCCTCTGTACCAGCCTGCTACTGTTACTTATCCATTCAACAGTTCAGAGACTCTGGGATAGGGAACGTTCCTGTGAGCGCTAATGTCCAGGTTTTCCATTCTCTGGGGTGTGTGTCTGGAATGGAACTGACATATGGTAACCCTGCATTTAATCATGGGATGGCACAAATATCTGAGTACATATGGAAGCCGAGGGAGTATGTTGGAAATCTCCCTCTATAATCTCCATCTCATTTTCTTTCTTTCTTTTTTCTTTTTTTTTTTGTTTTTGTTTTTGTTTTTGTTTTTCGAGACAGGGTTTCTCTGTAGCTTTGGAGCCTGTCCTGGAACTAGCCCTTGTAGACCAGGCTGGACTCGAACTCACAGAGATCTGCCTGCCTCTGCCTCCCGAGTGCTGGGATTAAAGGCATGAGCCACCACCGTCCATCTTATTTTCTGAAACAGGGAGTCTTTTTTTTTTTTCCCCTGTTGCTGTAATTAAAAATAAAAAAAAAATAGCCGGGTGGTGGTGGCTCATGCCTTTAATCCCAGAACTGGAGAGGCAGAGACAATTGGATCTCTGTGAGTTCGAGGCAAGCCTGGTCAACAAGAGCTAGCTCAGGACAGGCACCAAAAACTACAAAGAAACCCTGTCTCGAAAAAAAAAAAAAAGAGCGAAGTATTCAAACATGAGTGTATGGTGTGTGTGTGTGTGGCGGGCATTCCTATCCAAACCATCACATATGCCCAATCAAGAAGCAGAAAGGAATGAAGGGAATGAATGCATGCTACTACTCCACTCCTTTTCTCCATTTATACAATCCAAGGTCCCAGCCAGGGAATGAGGCTACCCACAGTGGGTTGGGCTCTCACCTCAATTAACAAAATTAAAATAATCTCTCACAGTCGTCCTCAGAGACCCATCTCCCAGTTGATTCTAGAGCTTGTGAAGTGGACAATTCACACTGACAATTACACAGAATCTGAAAGAACATGAAGCCCACCATTTGGACTAAGCTATTGAGCTGTAGGTACTGTAGGAAGTATTACAGTTTATATACAGTTTATATTAGCCCGCCTACTGAGGCGTGGCCTCTCTTACTATGTACCTGTAAGCCTAACTTCCGCGCGCCCTTTCTTTCTCCCCCTTGCTCCGTTTCCCGGTCGGTTGCTCCTTTGGGTCGCCTGATTCAACTGGTCAAGCGGAGAATTCGGATTTGTGAGTTTACCCCTTAATAAATGCTTATCTATTTCTTATTTCTGAGCTAGTGTGGGATTTCTTTTAAGCATCCGACCGCCATAACTCCCAGTACACCTCGCGACCACGTGGATTTAAACTCCGCGCCTCCGGGCAGATCACCGAGCAGCTTCACAGGTCGCTTCACGGGCCAGAATCCCCGTCAAAATCCCCACCACAACGGAGTTTGCAGCACTCAAGAAGCACAACCGCTGCAAACCTACCTCCCGGGGAGATTGTTTCTCACATGCCTGCGTCTGCAGCTTCTGGGTTTCTGTTCTCTGTGCCTGGACTCTTTGTTTTCTTCCTCCCTGTATGGAATGACTTAATTACATTTAATCTGTTGAGTGACTCATATTTCTCCAGTTTTTAACAAGTACCAAGGCGGACTTTTTTTTTTTACATTTTTAAAAAAATATTTATGGAGCTCTACATTTTTCTTTGCTCCCTTCCCTCCCCTTTTCAACCTTCCCCTAGGGTCCCCATGCTCCAAATTTACTCAGGAGATCTTGTCTCTTTCTACTTTCTACTTCCCATGTAGATTAGATCTATGTAAGTCTCTCTTAGTGTCCTCACTGTTGTCTAAGTTCTCTGGGATTGTGGTTTGTAGGCTGGCTTTCTTTGCTTTATGTCTAAAAACCACCTATGAGTGAGTACATGTGATAATCGTCTTTCTCAGCCTGGGTTACCTCACTCAAAATAATGTTATTTTAACTCCATCCATTTTCCTGCAAAATTCAAGCTGTCGTTATTTTTATTCTGCTGTGTAAATGTACCACATTTTCCTTATCCATTCATCGATCGAGGGGCATTTAGATTGTTTCCAAGTTCTGGCTATGACAAGCAAAGCTGCTATGAACATAGTTGACCACATGTCCTTGTGACACAATTGAGCATCCTTTGGATATATACCCAAAAGTGGTATTACTGGATCTTAAGTAAGGTTGTTTCCTAGTTTTCTGAAAATTC